ATGCTTTGCTCCTCCCGAGCTGCAAAGCCCCCCTGGTTGATGTTTTCCTCTCCCTGCATGGGGTCCAGCACCCATTTGGGGTAGGGGAGAAGGGGAGCAGGGTGTTTGCCACCCTAATCAGTATTTCAACAGATTCTTGTGCCTCGCAGGTTTGGTGGTGTCTGGACCTCCCCCCAAAGGGTCTCAGGTCTCCCACCACCCTCTGAGAGGCCATTCCCAGTATTTATTGTGCTGTTGCAATCAGCGTTGTCATCTGAGAGCATTCTGGGGGATAGCTCCATCCCCCCCTCCCAGTCTGTGGGGTGCTGAGCTGAGCCCCCACCCCCCACCCGTTATTTTTGGGTAAAGCTGAGGGGCAGCGTGGTACTTCTTTTTGTAAAGTGGTTCCTTTGTACTGATCATTGATACTGGCTGCTTTGGTTTCTTCACCCTGTCTGTGATGTTTCTGTGTTCTGTCGAATAAATTATTCTAGTTTATTAAACTCAGAAAAAAAAAAAAAAAAGAAAAAATGATAAAATAGTCCCGGCCTGAACACTTCTGTTGGCTCAGGACAGGGGAGCTGGCACAGGCAGAAAGTCCCACAGTCATGGAATGGTTTGGGTTGAGAACGACCTTAAAGCTCCCCTCACCACGCTGATGCTGTGGGGACAGAGAGACCGTCCTTAAGTTGGTCCATCTCAGGGTGTCCACGTTTTTGCTGGAGGCAGGAGCTGTCCCAGCCTTCCCCACCAAGGACAAACCTGGCTCCAGCAAAGCCAAGGTCTCCAGTCACACAGCTGGACTCTGACCCCACACGGGCTGCTGGGGGCTCCACGTGGTGCATTCCTGGGAGCAAGGTCCCCACTGCCCACTGTGATTTGCAGGGTCACGTTTACAGGGAGGTCCCCCCGTGCGTAATCCCTTCCCACAGCAGCTCTGAGTACGTCATAGTTGGGACATCTCCAGTCTCCTGTTGAATCTGGTTCAAGCTGGACAAGAAGGCTTAAGTTATTTTGGGAGAAAAAAGGGAAGTTTAGATGGGAACAAACCATGCTGTTGCTTAAGCCCCATTTCTTTTGAAAGCCAAGCAAATTCGGTTCCCTGTCCTCGCTGAGCTACCTGCATCACCATGGTGTGGGAGGGATCAGCTGCTCCACCACATCTGGCAAAAGAGGCAGTGAGGAAGCACCTCGGGTGCTGGGAAGGCTCCAGTGGTCTTCTCTCCTCCTCAGAGCCCACCTCCTCCATGGCCAGACCTTCACCCTGTGGGTGTTTTCCCCAGGAAGGAAGAGCCACAGCAGCCGAGCTCTGCACCTTCTGTTTGCCAAACCAACTGCTCCAGGGGTGCTTGAGGAAAACCCACCGAGCTCTAGGATCCCACTCTGGAAACTTCATGTCTGTGTACCCACAGGCTGCCTGGGGTTGCTGGGTTCTGGGGCTGCTGCAGGTCCCCACTGCGGGGCAGAAATGCCACCTCCTAAACTCAGGAGCCCAGAGGTCTTGCTGCAGGGGAAGGGCAGGCTCAGCTCTGCCACAGCAGGAAGGAACTGACTCAAGAGCAGATGGAGAGCCAGGAAGCCCTGGTCAGAACCCATTCCCCCCAGTCTGACTCTGGCTCAGCTGGACTGGTTTTGCTGTGGACCCTTGGGGGTGGAAAGGAGGCTCAGTCATACGTGCAGGAGTACTCAGCTTCTCCAGGGCTCAAACAGGCTTTTCCCTTTGCTGCTGCTGGTGACACAGACCCATGGCTTCAGTAGGTGACAAAGCATCAACCCCCTGGCCTCGGGCAGGACACTCTGCCCCCATTTCACATGCTGCCAGGGGAAGTTCTGGGAGTGGAGTGGAAGCACTGGCATGGCTTGTGCTGGGAGGAGGATGGAGCAGGCTCCAGCCTCAGGCACACAGCTGTTGCCATGGCACAGGTCAGTATAGCACATTCCCAGTGTAAGGTTTCCCCAGGTGCTCCTGAAGTACAGCCCTCACTGCACCTCACCTGCTTTCAGCCCCCCTTGTCCCAGCTGACACCACCCAGAGCAGCAGGGAGCCTTTTGCAGGCAGATTTTTTTCTCCCCAGGTAACACCTTGGTAACAGCGTGGGTGTTGCAGGAGTCATTGCCTGCTTCCTCAGCCCCGGAAATCACATCAGCTCCATCAAACCTGAACTTGCAGTTGGTGGGAAGAGAGCCAAAGGACACCAATGCCTGTCTTAGGCCAGGTGCTCTCAGGGTGCAGAGGGGGAGGGTAGAGCTTGGAGCAGGCTGGGGCTAGAAAGGTTGTTCCTGTTGCTCTGGCAGGCTGCAAGCAGGCTCTGTGGTCACACTGCAACTTCCTGAGTGGAGGCTGCTGCTCGTGATACACGCACGTGACAAATGCCAACACCCCTCGGGGAGTGCAGCCTCCCCTCGGTGCTCTGGGCCTGGAAAACAGCGGGGAAATATCCCACAGAACAGCCTGTTTCCTCAAACTCCTGGTTTTTTAATCAAATCCCAGAATGGTTTGGGTTGGAAGGGATCTTAAAGCTCATCTCGTTCC